CCCCCGCAGCAACTGATCCCAGCCCTCGAGTAGCCTCGCCTCCTCCTTTGTACAGATCCCCCTCCCCCAGGTGTTATCTGCTGTCACCTGGTCCTCAGGACGTGAAAGACTGAACATTCTTCCACAGTGAGTCATGCCCAGCCTTCCCCTCCTCATCCAGATAGTGTTGCAGTGCCCAGGGAAACTGAGGCACGCACAGAGTTACTCCAGAACAGCACAAGACAGTAGAATCACACGTAACACAACAAAGCAAACAGGGTGAATACAAAACCAGAGTGACTACAGTGACTACAAGAGTGAATGCAATCCCCCCTACCTCACACCAGGGCACGCCCCCTCCTAGTTAGCAGTCTGGGAAGGGCTGGTGGCTGTGACTGTCCCCCCCGCCCCGTCTCTCCTCCCTCAGTGATGCTGCTGGCCCAGTGATGCTGCTGGCCCAGGAACCAACCCAGGAGTTCGAGGTGCCCCTGCATCCGCTGGGGTCCCCCATTCAATAGGCTCCTTGCAATGTCCACCCTGTTGCTATCTGGAGAGCAACCCTCCAAGCCAGCCCCCAGGTACCATCCCTGCCCAGGCAGAGTGCGCCCAAGAGACCTCGAAACAGGCCCTTCCCCCTTCAGCACTAGCAGAGGGTCCCTAGCACGGGGGGCTCCACCTTTCCGGACAACTATGCCCCTTTCAGGAGTCTCATTGCCCCCCCTCCCCGTTCCACTCATTTCAGAGCGACTTGTCCCCAAATCCGACATCCGGCTAGAAAAAGGTCACAGTCGCTATTGCTGAAAAATCGCTGGCTTCCTCCTTTTCACCAGAGCCTTCTAAAATCCAGCCAGCGGAACAGAAACACTGCACGGACACGGCAGTGCATAGTAGAAAGCAGTAGAAACAAGTCACCGGATGACACTGTCGTTTGCACAGACTTTGGCCCGGCTTTTTCTGTAGCCGGCTGTAAAACGAGGCAAATAGCTGGGCAAGTCGCTGCACCCCCTGGGAAACCTCAGAGCACCCCAGAACCCCAGTTTCCCATGATCAGAGGGGGAACCTAAAGAATCAGGACTCGCTTCTTATTTTCCAAGCTCTGCCACTGACTTATCCACTGACTTCAAGGCAAGTTACATCCCCTGGCCTGTTGGTGTGGGTGGGTGTCACTTTGAGATGAAGGACACTCGACTCACTGATTGTTACTAGACAAACAAGGTGGGACCCACATGGCTCCAGTAGCAGGAAATTCCCTTGTTTGGAGAGATATTTAGCAGCACCAGGAGGTCTGCAGGGCAAGGGAGCAGGCCCTAAAGCCTAGACAGCCATCACTGCTCACACAGACCAGCCCCCAAGACCCCAGCCACAGACCAAAGTCCGAGCCTTCCTCCAAGCCAAGTGCCTGCGAGGGGCGGGACTTAAGGCTCCACACCTGGCTTGAGCGAGCTCACGTGTGACCAATGAGGATCCATTTCTAATGCAACTCGCTAGAGAGCCCCACCCATTTGCCAGCCTCCGGAATGAAGGGGCGGGGCGGGTCTCGTGGGCGGGGCTTAGTGCTGCTATATAAAGGCTGGGCAGGCACAGGGCTTATGTTGCTTCTGGCTGAGAAGGGAGCAGGAGTGAGAGGTAAGGGGTCTGGAAGGGTCTGAAACCTGCTGGGGGTGGGGAGCTGGGAGTTATTTATCAACTCAAGTTAGATGGAATTTCAGTATCTAAGAACTTAAGGCTTGTTTATCCCCTTTCCCAGAGAGCTCCTGACTTAGCCTTTAGCCGCACTAGAAATGGAGACAGTGAACTCCAGCTACTCTATAGCTCCCTGGCTGGGCAGGGCTGTGGGGTTCCCCTCCCAGCATAGAAAAGTTTGTTTTGTTTTAGCTCTGTCCCTCTTCTCCTCCTGGGGTGAGGCTGGCTCATTCTCCCAACTAGCTGAAATGCAAAGTTTCACTTGGAGGTTTAAACACTCTTCTCCTCCCCCCCCCCCCCCCCCTTCCAAAACAAACATGTTTTGTCAGGAAGGTTCAAAGCAAACTGCTTGGCAGCGATGCTGTGCCCTGGGTGCTGTGAACTCCCTGCTTGTGGAGACTCTCTTGGCTCGGTGCTATGGGAGGCTCCCCTTGGAACAATTGGCCCCTCAGTCCTCCTGGCTGGGGGAGAAACCCTGGACTGCGAGCCCCCCAAGGAGTCTATTGGCTTGTCTGTGCCTCCTGCGTCTTGTGACCCAAGTCTGAGTCACGCCTGGCTGGAACGCTTGGAGGCTGGTGATGCTGCTACAGTGGCCAGCCTTGCGGCTGGCTTATCTCAGGGTGTGGTCAAACCCCCCCCCCTGCTTCTCTGGGCCTGGGGAAAGGGTCCTGCCTAGTCAGCGGGCTTCCCTACCCAGCTGTGGGGTGCTAAGCGGGTGTGGCCGAGGGTCACCGTGACCCTGGCTCCGGTTAGCAGCTGGCATCTGAAACGGCTGCGACACAAACCTGGCAAAGCAGGCGGTGTCGAAACAGCCCTGAGCTGTCTGGGGCGAAGGCCGCTGCTCGTTAGCGGCAGGGTCCTTGGGGGCGGATTTGCCCTGTCGCCCTGGATTGCAAAGCAACGCCTGCCTCCCAGTGCCTGCTGCCTTGGGTCCCAGGGGGCTGTTGCTCCACCAGTTGTGCCGCTGAGTGAGGGGGTCACAAGTCTGCTCTCACTGCTGACCTCTGATCAGGCTTTATGGCTCTAGCATTTGCTCAGTCTTATCGTCAGTGTTGGCAGATTAACTAGGGAGTTTCTGTGTCTTCTAATCAGTTTCCCCAGATTGCACCATGGCTTCTAATGACCCCAGTGCCGCTTCCCCGAAGGACGAGGAGCAGAGGGTAGGTACACGCCGGGGGCAATAGAAAGTGGAGCTGAGCCTGCATAGGGGGTAAACGTAAACCACAGTTCTACCAGTACAATATTGCTTGGGCCAGCCCAGCGTCAGCTTGCTCAGGTGAGGGCAGAGAAACTAGGCACTTCGCCTGCCGTTTGCTGTCCCCACCTCCTCTACAGCAGTGTTCTAGCAAAGTAGGTTTGTCATGTAGGCCTGGCCTCAGCATTGTGTGTTCAGAGAGGGCTTCTTGGCCTTGCTTTAATCAAAAGGCAGCTGAGTTCTACTAAGGCACCCTTGACTAGAGACAGTGGAGGGGAGGTCTAGGTTGGCTGCGGGGGGGAATAGCTTTCACCAGGAGGGTGGGGAAGCACTGGGATGGGTTATCTAGGGAGGAGGTGGCATCTCCATCCCTGGAGGTCTAAGTCCCGGCTTGACAACGCCCTGGCTGGGATGTGTTGGGATCAGGCCCCCTGCCCAAAGGGGACCAGACTCCCCCTCCTGAGGCCTCCAGAATCACAGGGCTGGAGAAGTAGCCACTCATGGCTCAGCCTGTGTTTGTCTATATGGGGCAGACCACACCCTGATGGGGAGTGTGGGGGCAGTAGTGCCACTTGCAGATTCCTGGTAAGTGTTTGCTGATCTCCTGCACCACAGCAGTGTGACATGCGGCCCAGCCCTGACCAGTGTCCCCTGCAAGCTGGGGGCCTGGCTCTGCTCAGGCGAGTTTGCTGATGGCTAGGCTCTTGTCTAGAATGGTGGTGTGCACACGGATTATTCATCCCATGGGAGGAGAAGATGGGGGAATACTGGCCCTGACTTGCATGACTTTTTCTTTGCTGTCTGGCTTTATTTGTGGCCTGGCCTCAAACATCAAATGTGCTAACAGTATGGGGAGTTTGAATACCCCTGGCAGTAGCGGGGCTCACCTGGCAAGCTGGGGAGAGGAGGTAACCCTTCTAAGAAGGGTGCCTGGTAGGCCATGTCAGCTGACAGACCCAGCTACCAATGGCAGGGCCCCTAGACTGCTTGGAGGGGGGGGGGCTGCCTGGTAGCTCTGCCCCATACCTTACTGCCTTCTCCCCCTAGAACATAGCCAACCGGGTGGCCAACCTGCCCTTGGTCAGCTCTGCCTACGACATGGTCTCCACGGCCTACGCCGCCTCCAAGGAGAGCCACCCGTACGTCAAATCCGTCTGCGACGCGGCGGAGAAGGGCGTGAAGACCATCACTGCCGCGGCCGTCAGCGGTGCCCAGCCCATCCTGACCAAACTGGAGCCACAGAGTGAGTAGCTGGGGGTGGCAGGGCCCCATACTCTGCCCAGGGAGCTGGGCATTGAGCCCCCTGCCTGGGAAGGAGTCAGGCTGGTGTCCGTGAAGCCAGTGGCTGGCAAAACATCACCCCTTCCCTAGAGGGCCATAAACACTCCAGCTGGGCAATATTAGGGACATGCCCTGGGGTGAGCCCGCTTAAGGGATGGAGCCACCGTAGCTGGTCTATAGGCAGCATAAGCTCAGGGATTCCTGGATCTGCCCGTTCTCTGCAGCCGTATCTGAGTATGACGGAGTGGGTCCACTCCCCTCTGGGCCTGAGCCAGGCTTCTGCCTGCTGTCCCACCCCCCAGGCAGGACCCCAGTTCTCGAGCCCCCAGGACTTGCTGTAGCTGCGAGGGCTTCCTCGCGGAGACACTGAACTGCCTTGCTTCACAGTTTCCACTGCAAACGAGTACGCCTGCCGGGGGCTGGACAAGCTGGAGGAGAAGCTGCCGATCCTTCAACAGCCGACCGACAAGGTCAGAGCCTCTCGGCTGCAAAGCCTTCCCCGGGACTGGGGCGGTGCCCTCGGCTCCTCTGAGCAAGGAGCGCGAAGACCAGCAGCAGAGCGACATGTCACCTTTCTGCCCTGTGGTGCTGGCTGGTACCTGTTGCTGCTGCTCTGTTTGCTCAGGGAGGGAGGGGTGTAGCCAGCCAGAACTAATCCGCTGGTGGGGTCTCTGCAGCCTCATGCAAGCCTGGCGGTGCAGAGTAGGCACTAGAAACATGCTGATGAGTTTAATGATGGGCCCTGAACAGTGGGGGGGGAAGAAGCAAAGCTGCATACCCCCCATGCAGCAATATTCCAACCCTGGCTTGCAGCCTCATGTGGTGGAATCTGTCCTCCCTAGATCATCTCGGATACCAAACAGCGGGTGACTGCCACCGTCACTGGGGCCAAGGACGCAGTGAGCAGCACCATGACGGACATGGTGGATCTGACCAAAGGGGCCGTCCAGGGGGGCGTGGAGCTGACCAGATCGGCCGTGACGAGTGGTGTGAACACGGTCCTGGGCTCGGCTGTGGGCCAGATGGTGGCCAGTGGCGTGGATGCCATGCTGGGCAAGTCAGAAGAGCTGGTGGATCACTACCTCCCGATGACCGATGAGGAGCTAGGTGAGACTGGGAGCTGCAGCTCTACCCCATGCACTGGGAAAGGAGGATTTTTGGGGGGGGGGGGCACGGGTGATGGCTCCAGTGGAAGCCAGCCTACAAGGCTGGGTTTGGTTTCCTGACAATTTAAGAGTCTTGAGGTTCCTCCCAGCTGTTCCCTAGGAGATTCTACTTCTACATAATAGAACGCACAGAACCACCATTCCTGGGGTGGCAGCTAGCCTGCCTGGAAGCTTCACATGAAGTGCATTCTCTGCAGGCTCCTCTGAGCAAGGAGACACAAGAGGGAGCTTATAGCCAAGAGACAAAGCTGAACCATCTGCTCCCCCATCTCTGCCTTGCATCTTGTAGACCCTAATACATGGGAGATGATGGGACTGCTTGGCCCAGGGGTGGGCCAGACTTGGCCCCTCCAAGCCATTTGATCCAGCCCTAGTCATCCTGCTGCTCCAATTGAGACCTGGGGGTGGGGAGTGTGGCAGTAACTGGCTGTTCAAAGTGGCTTCCCCTGGTCTCCCCAGGGGCACATGGCACCTAGTGGGAGCCACCAACCATTTTGAACAGCAAATTACTTTGTGCACCCTCCTCTGCCCAGGCTCCGATTGGCCTGAGGCAGGGGAGCATGTGAAATCTCATCCTGCCAGGGCTGTGCAGGGCTCTCTGGGAGCAGAGCTGGCCCATGACCACAACCAGCATTTGAAGTGACCTTCTCCCCCTCCCCCACACAAACTGTTGCCTGCCAGGCAACCTGAGAAGACACCAAGCTGGGACCACCACCACCTAAGCAGAACATGGTGGTCTGACCTCTCCCAAATAGGCTAACACACTGCCAGGGCAGTGTTCCCTAATGGCTAAAGCATTGGGGTTGAACTACTCCTGCCTCAGCCTGTCAGGTGCATCCATGGTGGAGCCACTCCCCAGCCAGTGAAATGGGGGTGATACCAGTTGCCTTTAGTTCAATTGTGACAATCCCTGGGTACAATCTGGTCTGTCAAATGGCAGCATCCCTGCCTTGTTGCCAGCACAGCCACTCAGCCTGAGGTCACAGCCAAACCAGGCTCCTGGCTGTCCTACAAACAGGGCAACCCCTGTGGGTTCTTGGTCTCCCCTTATACCCTATGTGTGCCTTGGCCAGTGCAAGCTGTAACTCTACCATTCCCAAGGTGGAGAGACCGCACTGCACCAAGCCTGTCGCGATTGGTGCTTCCCCCACCCAACACTCCAAACACACTGGCCAAGATGTAACTTAAGGTCTGTGCAAGGCAACGAGCGGGAACAGGCTAGAAAAGATGACACGCCAGCGAGCCCCTTATACCCTATGTGTGCCTTGGCCAGTGCAAGCTGTAACTCTACCATTCCCAAGGTGGAGAGACCGCACTGCACCAAGCCTGTCGCGATTGGTGCTTCCCCCACCCAACACTCCAAACACACTGGCCAAGATGTAACTTAAGGTCTGTGCAAGGCAACGAGCGGGAACAGGCTAGAAAAGATGACACGCCAGCGAGTTCCTACCAGCGTCCCTCCCAGCCCAGCCCCCCTGCCACAATCGTGCACAGGAACGTGGGACCTCAGAGCAGGGGTGGGAGGTGCTGGAGGGATGCAGGGGTGGGAGGTGCTGGAGGGATGTAAGCGACTAGTTGACTATCCGATAAGCAAATGCTTATCAGATTAGTGACTAGCTGCTTTTTCTTCCCCCACCCCCTGCTGCAAGGGGGGGAGGGAGAAGCAGGCTCTGGTGCTGCAGGCAGCAGTCCAAAAGTTGGTCCCTCCCAGCACCTTCTCCATGGGTAGAAGGGGCAGAGAAACACACGGTGCTTCCACCCTTGAAGTCACGAGCAGGCTCTTGCTACCCATCAGAAGCACTGCAGGGCGTCTGGGGCAAGGGGGCTCAGTCCCCCATGTTCCCACGGATGCTTGGCTTTTGACATGTACAAGAGCCCTTGTGGCTCTTGTCTAAGCAAATAGTCATGCAAATGACATCGACTCTTCGATTAGTTGGTCTAAATGAAGAGTCTTTGGGTGCAGTGCTGGTCAGTCCCCATCGACCTCTCTCTCCTGAGGCACACTTGGCATGTCACCCTGGGCACAGGCAAACTTGAGACTGCTCAGTTGGCAGAGCAGGCTAGAGGTGAGGGGGTGGCCATGTCCCCCTGGTCCCACTAACCCTCCTCCCCCACTTCCAGCTAAACTGGCCACCTCGGTGGAAGGCTTCGAGGTGGAGCAGCAGAAGCAGCAGCAGAGCTACTTTGTGCGCCTGGGGTCCCTGTCCACCAAGCTGCGCCACCGGGCCTACCAGCACTCCCTGGGCAAGCTGCGGGATGCCCGGCAGAGCACCCAAGAGGCTCTGTCCCAGCTCCACCAAACCATAGAGCTGGTAGGAAAACAGCTGTGCCCTGTGCGCACCCCCGGTCCTTGGAAGTGTCTCGGGGGCAGGCCCCTGCTGCAGCTGAACCAGCTTGTGGGCAGGAGTCAAACCTAGCCAGGGCTGATGACGGGCGTCTTTCCTTCCAGATGGAGCATGCCAAGCAGGGTGGTGCTCAGAAGCTCCAGGAGGGCCAGGAGAAGCTGCACCAGATGTGGCAGGAGTGGAGCCAGAAGCAGCCACACAAGGAGACAGTCTCCGTGCAGCCACAGGAGGGTCTCCATGGGGTAACTCTAACTTTCCAGTAACTCTGGGCGCAGGGAAGGCTCCTTTCTTGACTGACCTGACCTTCCTCTGCAGCAGGTGGAGGACCAGGCTCTAGTGATGTCCCGCAGCCTCACCCAGCAACTGCAGACCACCTGCCTGAGCCTGGTGGCCGGCCTGCAAGGCCTCCCCGCTGACCTCCAGGACAAGGTGCAGCTGGTCCGTCACAACGTGGACGAGCTGCGTGCCTCCTTCGCCGCCGCCGGCTCCTTCCACGACTTGACCGGCAGCGTCTTGGCCCAGAGCCGGGAGCGCGTGACCAAGGCCCGGAAGCTGGTGGATGAGCTGATGGAGCAGGTGGTGCAGAACGCCCCCCTCTCTTGGCTGGTGGGCCCCTTCGCCCCATCGGGCAAGCAGCAGGAGGAAATGGAGATGGAGTAGCCTCCTGCCCGTCCGGCTTCAAGGCTCTAGGCTAAGCCTAGAGCTTCTGTGGGGGAGGGGAGTAACTCCTGCCCCTGCATCACTTCCTGTTACACAGCTAGCCTGGCGCTGGAGCACAGCACAGGGTGGCCAGATTCAGTGCCTCAGCCCTGGCATCCCTCTTGCTGCACTGAGCTTGGCTCTTGGATGCAGAAGCTTCCTCCATGGGAGACAGCCACTGTGGGCTGGGTCAAGCTCCCAGTGAAACTCACTGGCTCTGAACAATCCATGACCCCCTGAAATGGGGCTTAAGGCAGAGCTGGGGTGCCCCGGCAGCCACCTCTAGGTGAGAGTTGTCAGAACATCTGACTTCCACCCCATCAGGGTCCACAGGCTGTCCAGCACCTCTAACCTAGACTATTCCTATTAGCAGCAGATCCTAGGAATCCAAAATGCTGGCATGCAGTCTGGTCTTAGACCATCACTCAGGTGGGTAGCCCTGAGTGGACACTGGCAGGCAAATCCTTCCACTTTTAGCAAAGCGCTAACACTGTGGCTGATCCAAGCCTGGGATCTCTGCTCCAACTGGGTATTTGATGTAAGGTCCCAACAGCAGCTCCCAGCTAACTGCAGCTTAGTCCTGTTAAACATACAGGCTGCTCCAGCCTTGGAGCTACCACATCACAGCTCCTTGGTGAGACCAGGAACTGACCAGTGCACTCAGTGCCCAGCACTGCTGTCCTTCCAGGATTCCCTGCCTGCCCAAATCAAAGTGCCTTGGCTCTGACTTCTGTATCTGATAAGAACCGGTTGCTTGCAATAAAGCTGTACTTGCATTGACAAAGTCCTGTCTGTGTGGTGTGTGGGGCCCGAGCTTGAAGGGCCATGACAAGTCTCCTTCCCAGCGCTGACAGAAGCTGGCCCCTGCTGTTGGGGGATGGATTCTCCCTTCCTCCAACAATCCCCTCCCCAGCAGAGCTTTACCTTTAGAGCAATGGCTGGAGGGCTCTGAACTAAGCCCTATAGACCCTGCTTCTTAGTCATCTACCTAGGTCACCTCATGGAGACAAACTCCTGAAACCATTCTTGAAATGGCTGTAATTGGCCAACTCTCGTCTCTCTTGCTTCCCCTGTACACTTAGCATCCTGCACAGAGCTAGCTGGGGCCATGGTAATGCTGTTGGACTCCACTGTGCCTTCCCTTCCAGCTGCCCCTAGCTCTGCAAGGGCATTTATGCAACACACAAGCTCAAAGGGTCTCTACAAAGATCTTCACTTCTGTGTAAGGAAGTGGGTTTGGTTTTTTGTTTTCTGGGGGACCTCACCATCATTGGCAACTATTTGAAGTGCCATTAATAGAAGCAAAGAAAACATTAGGTCAGGGTTCTACAACTTGCTTGGGTTTAGCCTTCCTCAGTCTTACGGAAACATCCTCCACTTTTCTGGATCCTGTTTGTTTTGTGTTAGCCTTAGCCTATCAGCCATGGCCACACAGTTTATCCCTCAAACATCCTGCCAGCTCATTTCAATGGCATTAGGATTACCTGGGCTACATCTAGACTGGCCCCTTTTCCGGAAGAGGCATGCAAAGCAGGCAAGTCAGAATAGGGAAATCCGCGGGGGATTTAAATAAACATGGCTGCTGCTTTTTTCTGGCTTGGGGGAAAAGCCGGAAAAGCGCCTCTAGACTGGTGCGATCCTCTGGAATAAAGCCCTCTTCTGGAGGATCTCTTATTCCTACTTACAAGTAGGAATAAGAGATCCTCCGGAAAAGGGCTTTATTCCGGAGGATCACACCAGTCTAGACGCTCTTTTCTGGCTTTCCCTAAGCTGGAAAAAAAGCAGCAGCCATGTTTATTTAAATCCCCCACGGATTTCCCTATTCTGACTTGCCTGCTTTGCATGCCTCTTCCGGAGAAGGGGCCAGTCTAGACGTAGCCCTGGGGTGCATGAGTCAGCATCTTCTACCAAAATACATGGGTTAGGCAGCAATAGTGTCTGGCTTTTTAAGTGAATGGCTGATGACACTTTGCTAACACAAGACAGGACCATACAGCACTTTAAAGACTAACAAGATGGTTTATTAGGTGATGAGCTTTTGTGGGCCAGACCCACTTCCTCAGATCAAATTATGGAAGAAAATTGGCATGACCATACCAAAGGGCTACAATCAAAAAAGTGAACACATAGATGTGGTCACTTTCTTGATTGTATCCCTTTGGTGTGTATATGGTCATGCCCATTTTCTTCCATAATTTGATCTGAGGAAGTGGGTCTGGCCCCCAGAAGCTCGTTGCCTAATAAGCTGGTTTATTAGGACGATACAGCACTTTAAAGACTGTCTCGTTTCATGGCTACATCCCTATTACTGCGCTAACAGGTGTCATCACCTACAATGATGCTTATGTCAGCACTAGAATCGCCAGCCGTTCTCTTTCCAAGCTTAAACCTAGTAGCTCTCCGTGGTGTGTCGATAACTGAACTCAATGCCAAGATGCTGTTACAGCTCAGGTTTAACAGAGCAGGCAGCTGGGCTAGAGGTGGCCGTGATGGTACTGGGGAGGGGAACCGTTGGGGGTGGCCATTTCTTTCCCTGCTCAGGAAAAAGCCAGTGGGCATGGGGAAGCACAGGAGTCACTGCTGCTAAAGCAAAGGCTGCCCTGGAATAAGGAGGCAGGGGACCACGCTGCTGGCCAGCTGTAGCTTGGTGGTTGTCACTAGACACCGCTGCTGGCATTGTCAGCTGGCAACCCCCTCTCACTGGCCTGTGCTAGTCCATGTGTGCGGCAAGTGACAATTCGCACGTGCTCAGAGGATTAAAATAGGACTGAGCTTACTCCACACACAGCCCAGCTGTCTCTCTCCAGCTGGACAGCGCGGTCTCTGGTGCAAAAACCACCTCCAACAAAGAAGGCGTGTGCAAGGTGGCCAAACAAGGTGCTCCTGAAAGCGCTGGCAGCGCTGGCTGCATTCACAGCTCCATACGTCCTGTTTCTCAGGGCGCATCTCGAGCTCCAAACTTGCCCACATTTTTTTTTTTTTTGGCAAGAGCTGTTGCACCATTCCACCGGCTACAGCAGTCTCGTGGTTTTCCACAGCTTTAAGCACTACCCGTACCTGAGGTAAGTTTCATACCGTAGCTCTCTTCTTCCCCCTTTTTGCTCATTCAGTGAGCACGCTTGGCTGAGGGCGACCAGGGCTTATGCCTCAGCTGAGAAGCAGGCTGGGTGGCTGGTGAGGAGGGAGCCCCATACAACAGGCAAACCTGAGCATGGGGATAACTCGCTCTATACCAGTGATTCCCAAACTTTTCAGCATCATGCCCCCCCCTTCTGATTTTTTTGAAAAACCCTCCCCCCCCCCCAAAAAAAAAAAAAACTTGAGCAAAAAAAAAAAGGAACTAGGCAGGGCGGCAAATCTTAATTGTGGGGGGGGGAGGGCTGGGTCATCTCCTGCCCCCCCGCCCTGGAATTTCTTCACACCCCAGTTTGGGAACCCATGCTCTATACAGACCAGAATGGTCCAGTCACAGTGGAGTGTCCCTGTTCGTCTCAGTGTGTAACAATGACGAGGGGCCCCCTACACTTTACTGGTCGATGTGGGTATAAGCTGGCGTCGGGCAAAACCGCTTTTGCGTGATGCATGATCTGCACGGAGAGGGGGCAGGTCTCCGTGCACGTTTGGAGTCGTGATGCACCCTGCAGCCGCCTCCCCGTTTGAGTCTGATCATCGCCGCAACGCCCAGCTGGAGGGCAAAGCACCGCAAGTTCTAGGCCGGCCACGTGGCCAGAGACTGGGGCAGGCATCCCAACCCGGGAGAGGGGAGAGAGAGCCTTCCATGCCCCTCCTGTGGGAGCCGTTCCAAACAACGGTTTGTAGGGCCAGGGTGGGAGGCTGACTCCTATGGGGGAGAATATGGGCTGGCGAGGTGCAAGGCCTAGAAGCCGAGTCTCCTAGCCCCCAGCTGAGCGCTCCAGCCACTGGGCTGGCTGGGGGAGGCGTTCTTGTATTTATTTCAGTGGTGAGCTGCCTAGGTATGAAGGCGATTCTTGGCCTGTTTTGCCAACCTGCCCTGTTTCTAGCGTCCTGTAGGAAGGCTGCTGCGCTAGAGCCCCTTCCCCTGCATTGGTCGCGCCCTGTGCTTAGCAGCAGCAGGTATCTCGCCCCTAGGCCTGCCGAGGTGGGCAGCAAAGGCTCCGTCTGTGGCTTCCAACCCAGCCCTAAAAGGCCCAGGCGAGGCTACAGCAGCCAGGCCAGGGCATTGTGATGTCACCACATGTCACAATGACGCAGCCGTGTGGGGCAAGCAGCTGCCTGGGGCGGGCGGATTCCGAGAGGGCCCAGCTACCTGAGCAGGGCAGCCCCAGGGCCGGGCGGGGGCCTGGACCAGGCCTTTCCAGCCCCCCCGCCGGATGAGCAGAGGCCATGGCAGAGGGTGAGTAGAAAGGACAGTGCCAGGGCAGCACTAGCACTCAGGCAAGGTGCTTACCAAGAGGCTGGGCGCGACCTGCCACCACGTCGCCCTTCTCGCCACTCGAGGGAGCACGTGAAGGTCCGTGGCACCCAGACGTCCGGCCCCTCACGCTCTGCCCTCTCCGCTCCCGCTGATCTCCCTCTCCTCCCCGATGAGACGCTGCCACGTCGCCCTGTCCCACGCATGTGGCCAAGAGCATTTTCTGCCATCAGTTAACAACTTCCCCCCTTAGCAGCAGGCACACACAAGAGCGGGCAGCCAGGGGGCTGTGTCCCACTTGGGCTGCTTCCTGGGGACGTGCTGCCCTGCGTGGTTGCCCCCGAAGGCCGACCCCTTCCACCTGCCTCAGCTACCTTTCCCCTACAGGGGCTGAAACATCCCCTGGCCCACCTGTGCCCCAGGGCCGGGCCCACCGGAGGGCCGGGAAGAGTGGGAGCAGATGCGGCCGTCCCTCTAAGAACGGCAGCTCTTGCCCGGCACGTGCAGGGTGGGGGGGGTCACTTTGGTTGGGTTGCTATTAAAAGCGAGGCCGACGCCTGCATCACTGTGAAAACCCCGCGCTCCTGGCCCGCCCAGCTGCCCATGTCGCTGTGCTGCTGAAAGGCCACCCCCGCTCCCATAGCGCCCTTCGTGCGGGGAGGTGGCGTCCTTAGGGGAAAGCCCTGTCCATGGGTGAAGGCCGGGTTTACACGCTGGCGTTAGGCCGGCAGAGCAATGCTGCAGTAGGCACCGTTGTAGAGAGCCAGCCTTCCCCGGTCCCCACCTCACCATGTCACACCCACTCATCCCTAGGAAGCCGGTCCAAACACCAGGCAGGCTGAGTGTGTGGTCGAGGCACTGGCCTGCAACCAGGGGAGTGTGGTAGGCCTTTTAACTCGCTGTCTGCCTCAGTTTGCCCATCTGTAAAATGGGGAGGAGGAAGGAGCTACTCCTGCTGTCTGGTCCATAGCCTGGAAGCCCCCAGGGGGCAGGGACTGTCTCCCTGAGTGGATGTACAGCGTCAAGCGCACTAGGCGCCTATTCTGCTGTCTAGCTAATCTGCCTGGGCAACGTGTTCCCTGACCTGCCCCATCTCCCTCATTCTGTCCCATCAGCCACCCCAGAAGTCGCTGCGCCAGCTGCGGAAAAAGGACCACAGGGCGTGTCCTCCGACCCCACACTGAGAACGGCTTCGCTAGACAATGAGGTACAGAGGGGAGGGACGTCCTGGGCAGCGCCACACGGGCACTGGGGGGGAGGGAGGGTTCAGGGCCAGGGGAAGGAACACTCGCTGCAAACCCCTAATACGGTGAAGCTCCGTTCGCTCGCTCCCTGCAGCGCTCTGGCTCAGAAAGCCAGTCTCCCTGCCCAGCGCCGGGCCCCCTGGCTTGGGTTGGGATGGGAGCAGGTGCAATCCAGCCCCGGGGAGTCCCGCTTTCCTTACCCCCGGCCTGGCTCTTCTCTGCGGTTAGTTTGCAGTGGACAGGATGGTCAGCATGCCCTTGGTCTCCTCCATTTACGACCTGGCGCCTGATGTCCCCAGCCACGACAGCAGCTCCTGCCTGGAAGCCACGTGCAAGGTGCCAGAGACCAAACCGGAGCCTGGTGCTGCTGCTGCCAGGCCTGCCCAGCTGGAACATGAATTTGAGAGTGAGTCGTGGGGCTGCGGCCAGAGCCTGGGAGAAGGGGGGACCCTCGGGGAGATGCTGGTGGGGTTTGATCCTTTCCCTGCAGTCTGTGTTCTTGCTCCCAGGAATCAGTGTCTCTGCTGGCCATGTAGGAGGCCAGTTTCCACTCTGGCCTGGTGCTCTAGGGCTGTGGCAGGGTCCCAGCTTGGCGAGAGCAGATCCAACTAGCTGCCCTGAGCACTGCAGCCCTAGCTGCCGACTTGGGACAGCCAGCGTGGCCGTGCAGCAAGGCTGCTTTTGCTTGTACTGACTGAGCCAGGAAGTGGGGGTACAGCCCCTCCCCCCTTGCACACGCTGGTAGTATAGGTCTCAGTCGCAAATGCAGGAGCAGCTGTTTGGGTAGCAGGAATTCCAAAGCCTGTGTAACCGCCACCCGGTAGATTTGAACCTGGGACCTCTGGAGCTTGAGCCATAAAGCCAGCTGGCTCCCAGCCTCGGCTGTAGAGCTCCCTTGTTCTGCTCTCTCGCTGTGAGCGGGCTACGTGCCACTGCGGGAGACTGACCCACGCTCGCTGCCTGAGTTACACTAGCAGGGAATTTGGACTCCCGCTGGCAGCTTCCTAGCAGCACCGTGCGACGCAGCAGAGGGCACAGGCCGAGGAGGCAGGGGCAGATCTGGAACGCAGCTGTCTTGCCCCAGGACATCAAACCCCAGCTCCCGTCTCCTCCCTGGGGCTCCCCTCTCTGATGCTGGCCCATCCGCTGGGCGCACTCTGAGCCGGGGGAACGGAAAGCTCCAAGCAGCTGGACTGATCAGCATTTCAAGCACTGAAGAACTCCATCTTCGCAGGCACGGACACCCCGCAGCCTGAGCCCGATCCCTCCTGTTCGCCCTGTGCCCCACAACTGCTCATGATCCCCCCTGCTGTCTGTCCCCACAGCTGTGCCAGCCGCAAAGACCCCGAGCAACGGGCTGGGCAAAGGCCCTCAGCAGCCACCCAAGCAGGTAACCATTTCCATCTGGGTAGTCTCCTGGGGACGAGCATCTCGCACAGAGATGAACCCAGCCCAGCGTGGGGGATCCCTGAGGCTGCCAAGCAACACTGGTCACTCTGAAGCGCTGCGCGATACCTGCTGCTCTGGTCCTCACGTGGCCTCCTTTACCCTCCGCTCTGAGTCCCTCCTGCCACAGGGATCCTGCCCCTTTGTGCAGACAGGGATTGGCGGCAGACAGGATAAGTGACGTGACCGAGGTTACACCAGGGAGTTAGTGGCAGAGCAGGGAATTCAGTCAGTGGGTGCCCTGACCACTGGGCCATCCTTCCTCACTGGCCCAGAATATGCTTGGAAGGAAGCTTCCACCGCTCAGTCAGGGGATGACAGACAGAGAGCCCCCCCCGCCCAGGAGGATGGTGGTTAGTGTCTTGCTGTGAAGACCTCTCAAGGACTAGCTGGGCAACTTGTTCTTCTAATCCACTGCCTGCTCCCTCCCCTGAGCCACTGCCAGGAGCCCCTGACCCGAGCTCCTTTTGCTTGCAGGTGGTGACAGAGACCTCGGAGCCCCTGCCATCCGAAGGGACAGACGACATGGCGGTAGCTGCAGTGGCCTACGCCAAGGAGCCGAGCCGCCCACCCAGGGCGGCCGGA